TTTCTCTCTCTCTCTCTCTCACACACACACACACACACACACACACACACACACGCACACACACACACACACACTCTCCCTCTCCCTCTCTCTCTATTCAAAGGGTTGTTGAAACCAGCTGATTTTGCCACTCCTATCATGCTCCTGACCAGTATTGCTATAGCCAAATGATTTCTAGGGAATCCAAAGAACCTCCCAAACTCAGAGTCCAGTTCTTCCAAGACTCAGCCTCACAGGGGCGTATTACAGAGAAAGGCATTTGAGTCACGAATCCACAGTGTTTCCTAAAGACTTCCTTTAGGTGTTTCCTAACCCTCTCTCGGGTCTTATCTCCCATTAGGATCTTGCTCCACATCGTGTTCTCTTCACACTCCACACTCAAAAACAAAGCAGGGAAAAGCTAAAGGAAGACACCACCACTGTTGTTTTACCCAAGACCTTGGTTATGTTTAAGTCCTGGACCATGGTTCCTTCTATCCCTAAATAATTAGCATAGAGCCTAACAAATAAAAGGTGTTCTAGAAACATGAAGGAATAAAATCCAAAATGCATGCTGATTTCTTTGTAACAAAATTGCCAGCATCATGCCTCTTGTATTTTAGGCCATTACTGTATAAACCAACAAAAGGGGAATGAATGAAATGAAAATGGCAGTGGCATATCTCTTGGAATAGAGGCACATGAAATGTCTCTTTCAAGACTCAACTGTGACCTGATTGAAAACTGGATTGTTTCCATAGTGGAAATCAAAGTGGTAGTTGTAAATCTTATAGTTCATCCTTTTTCACTCTCTGCTAGAGCTGGAAGCTAATTAGTACACTCGGTGAACAACTATATAAAAGTCTGCAGAACAGATTGTGCATTTATCTTGTCCTTTTATTTTCCATACATTCCCTATTCCTTGTTAATATTATTTTAATTTTTTTTGGTGGTGCTAGGGATCAAACTGACAGTCACACTCAGGCTGGACAAGCAAGCACTTTACTGCTGAGCTAACCCATTGATTTTATCTCTAAGAAGCACCTCAGTGAACGTGTTGAGGGCTCCAACTTTGGAATCAGAGTGTTAACATTCTGCCACTTACTGTTTGCAAGCTTTGGGCAAATTATTTGCCTTTGTACTTCAGATTTCCTGTCTGTAATATAGGGATAGCAAAAATAACTATTTTATAAGGTTGTAGATACTATATGTAGAATACTTAGAACAGTTTCTGGAATACAGATAGCACTAAAGGAATGTTTGCAACTGTGTACTTTTTACACCTCTATAAAGCTGCCTGAAATATTTTAGGAAAATAAGGTGAAGAAATAAATAAATAAATACAACAAAACTATGAGTAAGAAGCAGAGAGGAAGAATGAGAAGCATACCAGGAAGAAATAAAACAGGGAAACAGATTTTCTAGGCTAAAATTTTTCTTTTTTGTATTTTTTGCAATACTAAGGATTATACCAGGTACTCAGGCATACTTAGCAAGTGATGTACAAGCTATGTTCCCCAGCTCTGCCCCATCAACCCTCATTTCCCCCACTTTTTTATAAGGGTCTCACCAAGTCTGACTCAGCCTCCTGAGTAGCTGGGGTCATAGGCATGCACCAGTCTGGCTAGGGTAAAATTTTTGAGAAAAATTTCTAGCTCAGTCCCCAATCTCAAAATCCTAAAGTAGAATTTCTAAAACTTCAGTATGCATTATAACCTCCGGTAGGGCTTGTTAAAATATGCATTTCTGGGTCCCACCTCCAGAGTTTCTGATTCAGTGGTCTGGTGGTGGGACTCAAGGATATGCATTTGTAATAAGTTCCTAAGAGAAAGGACCACACTCTGAAGATCTGGGCCCTGAAATGACAGAAGTTCCTTCTTATCCATGAAAGATATGTTTCTGAAATCGTAAGTCATAACAAACCCTGTATAAGCTATATTTTACTATGATACAGTTTAATTTATAAATTAGAATACGAGATTAACAACAACTAATATCAGAAAGAAAATTTATAAGAATAAATTGTATCAAAATTACCAACATCATGCTTCTTGCACTTTAGGGCCATTATTAAGTAAAATAAGGTTATTGGTAAACACAGATTAAAGTACCTCATCAGTTGATCTGATTACTGAGGTTACTAAGTAACTAATGGACAGGCAGTGTATACAGTATAGACACAATGGCCAAAAAGATGATTCATGTCCCAGATGAGACACAGCAGGATAGTTTGAGATTTTCACCACACTAATCAGAATGACATGCAATCAAAAATGAAAAATTATTTCCAAAATTTTTCTTGTGATTTTTTTTTTAGGGGAGGTGACTATAGGTAACTGAAATTGCAGAAAAATATTGTAGATAAAGGGGACTACTATATCAACTATACTAATGCATAGTACATGTTCATCTTGGACTCATTTGCCTTTAATAGTTCATTTTCAAACATTACTGAGATCATGACAAATACATCCTAATGATTTAAATATAAATATTGTCATGCACTTTCTTTTTGGGGATTTAAAAACAATTTTAAACAATACATATTCTTATTTTGAAAATGTTTCCTCCTGGCCTTTACTTTTTATATATTTTATTGATATTCACTACTTGTAAAACTGAAAAAATATAACCTGTTTATAATTTTGAAAAAAAACAAACCCACATAATGTTAAAAAGAAAATAAATCACAATTTTACTCAAACATATTGCCATTTATTTTGAGTTATTCTATACTACATTTATTTACCTAATAATCTGATCAAATTTACCCTATATAGGGTTTTATATTTTATTTTTGTCACTTGATCCCATTTTAATGTCATTAATTTTCTTTTAAGGTATAGTTTTAAGATGGGCATAATATTTCGTTACATGAATATATTATTGTCTCCTTTACTCTAAAAATCTAAGGAAAAAGTCTACTCATTTTATAACAAAAACAAATCAATATTTTCTCCATTTTCCCTAGAAATTGTAAACAGAAAACACACACTCACACACACATACACACACACAAAGATTTTAGAGTAGTTTGAAGTAGTGTAATATTATTCACATTAACTAAGTTTAGAAGAGACTCTGACTCAGAGCAATATAATTAAACATTATCTCAAAAAGAATCCTGAAGACAAAATTTAAACATACCACAGGTAGGGTACACGGGGGGCACTTGATGAATGCATCCTAGTGATGCTAATACTAAATGCTTAAATTACAACATTGATTTGTTTCCCTTTATTCTGAATGTTATTATAAATCAGTAAATGAGAACTAGCTAATTTGTGTCCTATTGGAAGTACTTTGATGTAATAATCCTTACATGTTTCCATTAACTTATTATATTAATTTAATTCTTTATTATAAATTCTATCAAGAAGAACAATTGAGCTACTATTTTCACTTTAATTTGTCAAAGAATAAAAATTCAGACTCTGATATTCACTTTTAAATGTCTCCTTGGAACAAAGTACTATAATAGTATAAGGTCACACCATTACTTATTCTCATTTCACTTCCACTTCATCAAAAGTGAAAGATTCTATTCATCTGGTAGCATAAGAGCCTAATAAATGAATCCAGACTCCAAGTTACCAAGAGATTTATTCATTTTCAAATCTTTAATAGATCATTCTGGAAATCAATTTGAACAAACTTTTCTGTTTTTATTATATTGAATCAAAGAAAGTAAAGTTTTAAGGAAAACCAACAAACATAAACCAAATTTCATTGATAAGCTCAACATATT